CAAGCAACGGTGATAGCCTGGAACACACTATTAAAATATAAAATATTGTTTATACTATATTACATATACCTATATATACATATACACTATATAACATACTATATAAATATATTTATTATTTATTTTCTTGTTAGTATCTCTCAAAAAAGTATTATGACTGTTATTATATGTAAGCCTTAAGAGGGCAGGATTTTATCTATTTGGTTCACTAATCGATTTTTATTGTCTAGGTCAGGACCTGGCATATAGTAGAAGCTTGATTCAAATGAGTAAGTCTAGGTATGAATGAAGGAGTGCACAAAACTATATTTTACACTTTATTATATTTCTGTATCACTCTTACTATGTTTATATGTGTATTTCAGAAGTCATTTTAAGATGTTATATTCAATGAAGACATGGATAAACTTACATGTGAATCATCTCTTGTATTAAAATTTTATTTGCCTTCTTAAGCAGTCCCCCCTCTTATTATTTTATAATTTTAATTAGTTAAATATGATGACGTCTTTGGTGCTATTTAAAGGCAGATTACTGTTCAAAGGCAGTGAGTCTCTAACCCTTATGATTATGAGTCACAATTTCATGCAACAAGTTGATTTTACCATATACATTCTGAAAGTTGCTTGTCTCTTTCTCTCCTTTTCTATTCATCTTTAAATGCCTTCCATGACCTGCTGCACTGATTTCATAACCAACTACTTTCATGCAGTATAACTTTGAAAAACATAACTACAGAGTACACAGAACATGCAGAATTACCAATACATTAGTATTAATGCTGTTACTGCTCATTAAAAAAATCCTGAAAACCAATGAACCCTACATAGACTAAAACTTTGAAACCAATTACTATTTTATATCCACGTATGACCTGAAATAAGTATACCATGAATATTAAATGTGAATTTTTGAAATAGAATGTTCTATAAAGTGAAAGTGTGGAACTAAAGATATGTTTTTTTTTAAATTAAAGGAATTATAACATTAAGCAGAAAACTATTACTTTAAAACTGAAAATATCTCAATGTAAATGTTATTATGGATTTAGTTAGGTAGAATTATATTTTTAAACAGCTCTGTTAAATTTATCAGATTAATTTGCAACCAGCTGATCACCAAAAGTGAGTGAAGTGGTGGGAATCTTTTAATGGTATCATTTATTCTCCCTTTTAGCCAGGATGAAAGTAGAAATTTTTCTTTTTCCCTACATATAAGTTATTCTTCTGTTGCACCAATTTTTCACCTTAAATATTTAACTCATCTTTGTTTTCCACTGTATGCTTATCTACTACCCTATAGAAACTTGTGACCACACACTTGGACCATTAAAATACATTAAGTCCTCACTTACCATCAATGGATTCAGCAACTTAAAGCAAAACAATAGTGACATAACCAATCTCACCATAGGCTGATTAATACAAAGAGTTATGTTCCTACAGCTTCTCATCAAAGTTGCGATGAAACAACATTGAATGAAACTATTATTTCAGGACCTGCTGCAACTTCCTAAGAAGTTCAATGTCATCCTATCCCTTTTGATCCAAATCAACTTTCAGATGACTACAGATGTATTTTCCTAAAATCCTATTTGATTAGTTCACTGCTCAAACTGCTTTTCCTGCCATTCAGAGCGTTCTCAATTTCTTTTATTTTTAGCCTTGTCTGGCATCAGTATTTGTGATGGTCATTGTTAGCTTGGCCAGGTTATCCTATCCAGTTATTTAATCAAACACTAATCTAAGTGTTGCTATGGAGTTGTTTTGTAGGTATTATTCACAGCTATAATCAGTTCACTTTATACAAAAAGATGATGCTAAATAACCTGGGTGGGCTTGATATAATCAATCTAAAGGCCTAATGAACAGACAGGAGACAGAACTGCTGAAGAAGAAGTTCTACCCATGTTTAGTTTGTGCCCAGTAGTACCCAGCCTGCCTTTCCTGATGGCCTGCCACATAGATCTCAGACTTGCCTGGACAGCCCCTCAAAGTTGCATAACCCACTCCTTAAATAAATGTGTGGGTGTCTGTTCACCCAACTAGTTTTGTTTCTCAGATGGAATTTTAACTGATAAAGCACTTTATATTATCATTAGTCCTTTACTAATGATAATGGTCCAGCCAACTCCTGCTGTATCCAGCCTGTGCCTTAGACCCTACTGACTCTGTGCTGCTCCTCCTCCGGATGTCTCAGCTTGAAACGGTCCCTTCACCCTTGTTTTGATCCTGCTTCACTCCCACTCTCATAACTCAAAGATGCCATTCCTGAATCTTTATAGCCTTCTGTTAAGTGCCATTTGAATGGCACAGAACATGATCTCCTTTTTATAGTATTTACTTGTTTGTATGATATCCTGTGACAATAAGATCCATTAAAATACAAGCCTGTGTCATATAGCTCTGAAGTGTCTCTAACATTCATGAAGTTTCAGCAATTGCACCCTATATGTAACAGTTGTCTAATGAATGAGTGAATGACCAAGTGGTATTATACACATAAAAGTAAGCAAAGCTTTAAATCAGATAAACTTCAGTTTTTAAATCTGGGCCTGTTTTATTAGCTCTGTGACAGTGGGCCAATTACTCAATCTTTTAGCTTTAGTTTTCTCATATAAAATGTGAAGTTTTCTACTATGCAAAGATATAAATAATCTCCAGAGTCACAGCAAATATTAAATGAGATTGTGTAAAAACAACCAGCATAGTTCCTGGCACATATTGAGGGTAAATGAAATGTAACAATTCTGTTAATTACCTTGGAAAGGATTTTATGCATTCATTCATTAAGTACATATATACTGGCTCTGACTGGTGTGGCTCAGTGGATTGGGTGTCACCCCACAAAGTGAAAGATTCATGGTTCGATTTCTGCTTACGGCACATGCCTGGGGTGCAGGCCAGGTTTCTCTCTCTCTATTTCTCTCTCCCTTGCCCTCTCTCTAAAAAGAAATAAGTCATTTAAATACATATATACTGAATGCCTACTATGAGACAGGACCTTTGGCAAGTCCTGTGAAAAATAAAAAGATAAATGAACAATTTCTAATGTTTTTTTGAGCAACTATTTTATTATAGACATTCTTCTAATACTTATCTAACACCTTTATGTCTACAGTCTGTATTTTTTTCTGTTGTGCTAAGGTACTTCCAATAGACATAAATTTGGTTGTCAAGTGGAATGTGTTCTAATAAGAGAAATGGAAAATTTTTAAAAATTAACTATTAAATGATCAATTTAAAAAAGGGCTACAAAGGAGAAAATCCAGAAAAAGAAAAAAGCTCTTCATATAGTTGTAACACTACTTGGTATACATCATATACATTATCGATCAAGAGGCCATATTGGAGCGGACAAAACCAACCTGCTCTTCCACGCTTCCCCAAGCCCAGCCTGGGAAGGAGCTTCTGTGCCGTCTACAGTGTGGGATGACTTAGGGTTGTTACACGCCTGTCAATTAGCACGAGCAACTTTTTCACGCAGACGAGCAGATCTCCATTGTCACATTAACCCACAGAGTTAAAGTTCAAGGTAGTTCTAATTAGAATCTTTCAATCCCATAACCATATTTTTTTCTCAAAATGAGACATTCTGATCATATACAAAAATAAATAACCTGTGGCAGCTTCTCATGAAGGACAGAATTCTACTACAACTGTTATTTAAAAAAAAAGAGCATACTCTTTAAAATGATAGTGGTTTTTGAGACTTTTTTCTACATAGTTTTCATATGGTTTCTCAACAGCTAATAAAGAAAACCTGTGGAAGAGCAGGGTAACACTAAAATTTTTCTCATTAACTAAATTTTACATGCTACATCATGGCAATTAAATCTTCATGTTAACTTTACAGAGAAATCTGTAAGTATTGTAGTGATGTCAAATATATTAGTTTTACAGAGAAAGTATTTTAAAGCATTTTTATTTTTGCTGGAAAGTCAGCAAAAAACCACAGATAGTTGCTTCACTCTACAAATTCTCTGTTGAGTAGCAGCTCGGGGAGAACTTCTGGATGGCCCAGTAAATGTGTCCTCCTGCTGATTCAGACCCAGGCAAGCACTCCAGGGTTCCCTGTTAAATACCATCGACTTTCTGTTCAATAAATTTTAAAAACTTTTTTCTGAAACAATTTCTCATATCTAATCTCCATATATACCAGCATATAATGTGTGTTAACTTATAAGTTCTTAACTTCTCTTATAAAAATAATTTCATCATTTTATGTTTCCCCCCAACACTACCCAAAGTTCACTTGCTTAAGTGTGACCAACTCTCCTATTCCCAAACCCAACCCTTTAATTCACTCTGTGTTTTCCATATTTAAACTCAGATGTCTCTAAAATCCATTTCAGATTCGGTACTCACTAACCCCAAAATAACACCTTTCTTTAAAGACTATTTTGTATAGCACATTCATTCCTCTAGCTCTCCAAGAACAATGAGTTGAATCTTTGAGGATGCAGAGTACAGGTTGTTTTTATTTGTTAAAATGCAGCAAACTGAACAAAAACTTCACCAAAAAATACACCTTTTTTCTGTTTTCTTAATAGCGTGAATTTTGTTTGTTCCTTTCTTTTTTCTTTTTGAATGATAAGTACATTCATTAAAATTGCAGCTCATTTCTCTCATATCCTGATTAATTTTTATATTCATCTCTGTGATGCAACATAAAAATGTTTTTAAAGGACACTAATTTGTTGGTTACTTTATTTCCTACAGGCCATGATACCACAAATAATTTTTAACAATAACTAAAGTCATTTGAAGAAAACACATGCATGACTTTAACAGAGCTGATAAAGGACGTGTTTTTTGCTTTTAAATCACTTATTTAGAGAGAAAAATAGCTTCCCATACTATACACTACAAAATTATTTTATCTTTGCAAAGTTTTCTACACAAAATGCCAATGCATAAACAAACTTTCTAAGATCAACCATAAATTAATAATATTATAGATACATAATAAGTTCAATAATATGATATAAATTATTTTACCTTTGCATTATAGGGAATGTAATGTTTTGATAAAGCTTCAGGCGTGTGCATCCATGTTTTGTCTGCAATAAAGAATAGACAGTGTTAACTTAAATTACAGGTTTTGAGTGTGTCACATTCATGCATTAGCATTTCTAAGGAATTTGAGATGAATGAGAGCATCTCTAATTCCAAAATTCTTTCACTAAATTAAGAAAGAGAAACTAGTTAGATATAAGAACAATTTAATTGAGCGCGGGCCTGAGAACCAGAGTATTGCGGTTCGGTTCCCAGTCAGGGCACATGCCTGGGTTGCAGGCCAGTTCCCGGCAGGGGACACATGAGAGGCAACCACACATTGATGTTTCTCTCCCTCTCTTTCTCCTTCCCTTCCCCTCTCTCGAAAAATAAATAAAGAAAATATTTTAAAAAAAAGAACAATTTAGCTGGAAAGTGGTTAGAGAATTCTTTCCTTCACCTAAAAGTCCCTGTTAAAAAAAAAACTATATTGAGATAATGCAAATATTACTGGGGTTTTAAAGAATATATAAAAATAATAATGTTAGTTGACCTATGAGTAATTATATCAATTATGTGTTTAATTTTATAATTATTTTTTCTTTTTTATTCTCATAAATTATTTTTCTTACTTCTCTAATCAATAATCAATCCTTTTAGTAATCTTGTCTTTACTCATCATTATTATTTTTTGCAAAGAATTAACTATTTAGTAAAGAAAAATTTTAATATTATACTAGTAACTACATTTATAAAAATCCAAAATAAATCAATCTACTAAGTTCATTTAGAAATCAATATGATATTAGGATAATTTTAATCTAAACTTTGAGAAACATTAATTGAGGGTCTACTATCAGAGGTTCTGATATAGATAATCTTAATTTCAATCTTAATTTGAAATATTTGGATTAGAGTAATGAAATATTAGAAATAAAAGTAATTAAAAGGATAGAAGATATTGAAACTAATTTATACTGTATATTATTGATATAATATAAAATATACTTTTCATTCAATTTTGAAACTTTATTTGTAAATTCTGTACATCATCCCAAATATTTTGTGGAATTCATAAGAGAAAAAAGTAAAAATATTAATCTTAGCCCAACCAAATTTGACTTTTTTAACTGTTTTTGTAGCAAAATTTTATCAATATTCAAATATGTTATGTCTCCTTTAATAGTTTTGTATTTAATTTCTCGTGAAAATTTAAAAATGTAGAATGAATATTATGAACAGAATAAAATCAAAACATTTAATGTGAAAATATTAAATAAGTGCACACTGTAGGGAAATATTGAAATACTAACAAAGTATTTTAAACACTTAATTCAGAACATTTGAAGGTGGAATCAATAGAACCCAGCCTGACAGCATTAATATGTCCCCTCAAACTGGAGGAATGTGAAGACATTTAAAAAAGACATATTTCTGGAGCATCAATTCTTTATACCATTTGAAGGATAATGCAATTTGAAATACTGCATTATGAAATATGTTTCTGGAATACAATGCCTTATTCACAACTTTAAGACCAAACATGAGAGATCAATTAAATGCCAGTTTAGGGTGCATTTAAGGGCCCTCTCGGACTACTGAACAGTATATGAGAGCCGTACTTGGTTCAAACATTTTGAGAAGCAAGGCATTTTAAGCTTCAAAAAGCAATATTGACATACTGGCATTGACATTAATGTGGGGAACTTTTATTTTTTTGTTATAGTTTTCTTTTTATGATTGTTACTGGACAGTGACATGATTAATTCATGATTAATGTATAGTCATGATTAAGACATGATTAATGTATACTTAGATTTGGGATACATCCTTGACTTTGTCTATTAAAAAAATAAATCACAACACTATATACCAAAATAATTAAAACACCAATATAATAAAACCACCAAAGACCTGTATTAAAGAAACCTAAAAAGGCCTTGGCTAATGCGGCTCAGTGGGCTGAGCACTGGCCTATGAACCATAGGGGCAATGGTTTGATTCCCAGTCAGGGCACATGCCTGGGTTGCAGGCCAGGTTTCCCAGTGCAGGGCACGCAAGAGGCAATCACAAATTGATGTTTCTCTCCCTTCCTTCCCCTCTGTCTAAAAATAAATAAATAAAATCTTTTTTAAAAAGAAAATAAACCTAAAAAGATACCCAATTTCTTTTTTTTACCCCTTAATTCAACTCTCCTCATGGCTCCATTTCTAAGACAGACAACACTGCTCAGGAGGAATAAAGTTTAACTAGAATCTGAATATGATGGCTCATTCCAGTCCTGAGGCAGAGAGATAACTGCTTTCTCCATAAACTACTGTTATTTGAAGACTGATGATATTACCTCAGTTACAGTTTCATATTACAAGGACCTAGAGAGAATGTAGGTATATCCAGCTTTTACTAGTGACAGACTAAAACAATTGCAATCTTCAATTAGTAGTGCACAAACTGTAGTTGCTACCATGGCAAAAAAATTTATATCCACATATCAAGTGCTGCTAGTTTAGTGGTTTCTCATTACTGACCTCTAGTAGAGGTAGTACACTTATGAAACCTGAAGGATTTCCAAAACAAGTCCTTACTGTCATCCTAATTTATACTCTGGCAAAAGAAAAAAGGAACCTGACACAATAAAATTTCTTATATTAACTTATATAGGTGAGGTTGACCTTGAAGAGCTAGTACTTGAAGAGATGGTCCTTGGTCACTGTAAATGCTCGCAGAAGCAATTAGATACATGTAAGTGGTATAAGAAGGAGAATAGAGACATTCAAGAATGTGTCTCCTTCCTTGAAATTAAACTATAATCACTGAATCAATAGTGAACACTTATATAAGTGTTTGAAACGCTAACATTTGAAATGTTTGAAATGCTAACATTTCAAAATACTTAAGTGTTAAACAAACCACTCTCACTGCTGGGACAATAAATTTAAGCATTTAAAATGCATTTCAATTAAGAAATATGTAGTAACTTAATTATTTCGATATCACAAACCTTAATACTTTGAGTTTATACTAAAGTATTTTTAAAGATACCTTGGTTTTAAAATACTTAAAATTTAAAACTAAATGTTGGATGAATAGATGCATATGAACAGATCATACAAAGGGAAATAATATTTAAATATTGAATACTAAGCACTATGATTATGTCTACTCATCAGCATGTCAACTGCTAAGTTAAGAAAAGTAAAGTATAATTAGTTAAATTATTTAATCACATGTATTCACATGCTGTTTATGCATTTTCACTAAATTAATCATTTTTATGTAATAAGTAAAATTTGTATTTTAAAAACTTAGATAGAAAGCTAACATAGGGAAAGGAGTTATTAAATATACTCATTAACATGAAATTAATAATTATGAAGATAGAGTAATTTTTACCAATTAAAAATTGTGTGAAATGATGCAATTCTAACACAATCTTTTTCCAAATCTATAAGCAGCACTAATACCATTAAAGCTTTTGCAAAGAAATCAGTGAAGTACCTAGTTAATTCAATTCAAGAATAGCAGGCAAATTACTTATTGGGTGATTTAATAAAAAGAGGAAAAACAATTAAGATAATCTTTTTTCCTTAGGCTTCTGAGACAAAGGATGATTTAGCAAGGTTGCACATGATAAGTGAACTGGACATCTATAAAAGAAGATACAAACTTTTACTGACTGAAGACCATCTTGCTGTGTTTCGAGTTTAGAATGTATGTTGATGCTAATTATTAGAATAATAAATTGAATTATATATTCTCTAGAGCTACAATTCAACTCAGTTGTCAGGATACATGGATTCCCTCATATAATTCAAGTTTCCCAACTCATATTAAAATGAAATCAAATAGTATTATTGGTTGGAACTAGAAGGAGAGGCTCTACAGATTTTCCCTTGAAGAACTTCACTACATGAAAGATTCAGCAGTGACTGGTGAACTTAAGGTAGAATTTCCAGCATCAACTTCTAACTTGAAATTAGAGTAAAATATTGAGCAATAATTTCCTAATATGTATATTTTAATCATTAGACCTGAAAAATAAGAGAAATTAAAAAATTTAGAGAATGAAACAAAGTAGAAAATAGCAAGTACTTCCCCTTCTTGATTCTTTAAATTACACTAATTTTCCTTATGGTTACATTCCCACTGTCTTCAAATGAGACAAATGTACAAACTGCTAGTTACTCACATTGCTGTACAGCTGGTGGGATTAGTGCTCAGTGGACAAATCCTCTAAATTTTCTTCAAATAGAGAGTAAATTAGAAATGTGAACTTTCAATTGAAAACCGTGGGAAAGGGAATTACAATCAAATAAAAAGAGAAGCTCCAGAATCCTGTTGCCTTTTTTAATAAGGTAGTGTAATTAAAGTAGTGAGCTGAGATACAAGGATTTTTATTACTCTGTTAGAAATACTCCAGATAATCATTTCTAGGTATTTTTTACTAGTAAAAGGAATAAAAAAATAAACAAGCATTAATTTACTGTTGGCATAATCATTTAAATCAGAAGCAAATTACAGACCATAATAAATGTCACTTGGCCTTCCCCTTATTCAGAAAAAATAAATAAAATAATAAATTCCTAGCTTCCAAGACTTGAAAAGTACCAGAAAGTTCACATTACCTAAAGCCTCTGTACCACATCTGGATGAACACCTCTTGCTTCGGTAACAAGAAAACATTAGTACTTTGAGTAATCCCATTATATTTTTGCACAATTTTGTTGAAATGTTCTTCCTACATTAAATCAATGACCATATAGTTATACCTCTGTGTCCTTTATTAAACTTAGTCTCACAAGCAAATGACAGCCTTTCAAACATTATAAGACAATTCCCATTATCATGCCAAGGATTCAGCCATGCTCCCCTCCTCTTTGGTTGAGAGTCCTGAAGTCATCTCAGCCTTTCTCGTAAGGGCATGCTACAATGTGTCAATTCATTATCTAGAGAGAGACCACCCTGTTCTGCATGGATTAGCACAGATCTATTCCCTGGTGCTGGACTGTTCATTATTCATATCAGAAAATGAACTGGAACCTTGGATAATGACACTGTTATTCTTCAGCCATTTTTTACCCACCATATATGTATATGTATATGTTAACGATGTATGTATATAACACATACAACAAAAAGTATTTGCTTTCATGAACCCATGTTTGGCAATTGGCAGCGATAACGTTACCTAACTGGTCATTTCCCACGCCACCTGCACACATCTGTAATCCGGCCTCATCAATTTTCTTCTGCTTCCAGTCACCTACGAACCTGAGCAGCACTGAGAGCGTGTTATATAAGAGAGAGCCCTGTGCTCACCACTAGAGAATAATAAGGACACATTATTTTAGCCTCACTGACCATATAAAACTATCAAATTTTTCTGTCTTTCCAATGAGTGCATCATATTTTGTAAAATGACAGTATCTTCCCCCTTAAAAAATAAAGGCTGTTTCTTTCATTCTCATACTGATAATTATATATATAATATATGTTTAAATCCTTATCTTAAAATTAATAACAAACTTCATTTAGCCTCATTGCTATCGATTCACCTATCATCAATTCTCACATATTATTCAGTAAAAAGTAAAGTGTCCTTACACACTTACACACAGGAGTGAATTTAAATCAAGGTAACCTTAGGTAAGCCCAGGAGTGTTACATGGCTACGTAAGGTGGAGTTAGAACTAACTTCAGATCATTTTATTTTTTGCAGTTTCACACCACAGAATAAAACTACCAGAGAACAAACCATCAAAAGTGTATTCTGAACAAAGTATATTAAATAACTCCATTTTCATTACGGTGATGACCAAAAATGGTTAACTGGTAATGTTTGTAAATTTGCATGCTCTATACTAAATCCATTCTTGAGCCACATGGTTTGGTAATAGGAAAAACTGATTGCTTAACAAACATCTCTGCTTGCCTTTCACAGTAATATTGAACTGACCCCAGAGCCGTTCAGCGGGCACACTCACCTTTCTTCCTGCTAAAAGCACGGTTCATGATGAGGATCAGCCAAAGAGGTGTTCGATTCAATCACACTTTACAGCCTATGAAAATAACAAAATATTAAAAATCATAAAGGAAGGAATGTTGATCAACATTTTGTGCAAATGCATTTTAATCACAGTCTTTTACATTTAAAAAAAAATGTTTACAAACAATATTCTAAAATCTCCCAAAGGACACAGGGTAAGAATAGACATAAGTAGTTAATATTATGAGTGACGCAGTAGATAAGAACGGTAACTCAAATGAAATTCCTCTGAAGTTCCTAAGTATCCTTGTATTTTTTCTATTACATATCTATTACTAATTATAGTTGAAAATTTAAGGAGAAAAAATGTAGTAAGCACACCAAAACTGAGGAAGGAGTCTCTCACAGAGTTTATAGAGACAAGTCTTACAGCTCACACAAGAGCCAGCAGAAAGGGAGGGAAACTTCATAATCCATAGGACATCAATAAGATTTTTAATAATTTTCTTACCTTATAAGTGGAAAAAAGAAAAACTAAAATACATGATGCTTTGGTCCCACTTAGCAAGCAAATCTTAAAAATTAGACTCCCCCACAAATTAAACCTTTTCCAACTAACTTCACCATATCCAAAACTCTGTTCAAAAACATTTTAAGAGACATAAAAATATTCAGTACTCAGCATGGTAAAATTCACAATATCTGGCAGCCAACAGAAAATAAATCAGCCATAGAAAGTATAAAAAATATAACCTACAGTGGGGAGAGAAAGCAATGAAAAGTGATCCAGAAAAATAATATACATGATAATAGTGATATCCAAGGACACTCACACATTCCATGTGCTCAAGAAGCTAGGGCATAGATTAAGCAGTTACTGAGAAACAGAGGAGATAAAAACAAACAAATCCATCTTCTAGAAATGCAAAACACAATGTATGACATAAAAAGTACACTAGATGGGACTAATGGCAGATAAGATATTTAAAAAAAAGAGTAGTGAAATTGAAGATACAGGCATAGCAACCATCTAAAATGTAACAGACAAAACAGAGGAAGAAAGAAAGGGAAGAGAGGAAGAGGAAAGGAGAAGCAGGAATGGGGAAAGGGGAAGAAGGAAGGGAAAAAAGAAGAAAAAGGGTCACTGAATTGTGGAAAAACTACAAGTTGTTAAATAGTCCCTGTAGGAGACGAGAGAGAGAAGAGGAACATAAAATATTTGAAGAAATAAAGGCTGAGAATTCTCCAAAAATATAAACCCAGGGATTCAAGAGGCTTAACAAACCCCAAATACAAGAAATAAAAAAATCACACACATAACATATAAAAACCAAATTTCTTAAATCCAGGGACAAAGAGAAAGTATTAAAAGCAGCCAGAAAAAAAGACACATCATGTATAGTGGGAAAAACTGGAACGGCACAAGTTTTTACATCTGAAATGTTTCAAACTAGAAGACAGAGGAGCAACAGCTTTAAAAAATAGAAACTTAAAAATAAATAAATAATTGAACAGATCATCTCATTACATATGGGGAGAAAGTAAGAGTGATTTTTTAAGGCTCATTTTGAGTTTCTTTATTAAACACCATGATATGTTTTTTAGTTTTATCTTTCTAAATAATCCAGAGGCAAGATTCTGCATTAAATATTTGCATTATAAATATCATTAGGAAACTTATAAATTAGCTTGATATGTAAGTCTAGTTATATTAAAGATGAATACATGTGATCAATTAAAAATTTATAATTCATAACTTATTGAAACATTATCATTTTAAATTTAAAGCCAATTAGAATTTTAAATCTCTGAATAAAAATGTAAAGTGCATTATAAACATTAAAGGTACATGCCATTACATGAATTACTTTAATTCCAAATTTCACTGAAAATCAATAACCACACTGACAAAACACTGTGAGGCCAATCGGTATTAACTACTCTATAAATTTAATCTTTTGAGGGCCTAATTTTCTTTTTAAAGTTTGGAGTCAACAATCATTTCTTTAAATAAATCCAGCACACTTAGGATGGAAAACTGATTCACTAAAGGAAATCCACTGATATTTATAGAGTATTTCATAACTGTAGTGTGACTTTTTAGGGAATGACAGTTTCCTGCTTTGCAACCTGCTACCCAAGCTCTTACTTAAAAAAAAAAAGTGCCCTGGCCGGTGTGGCTTACTGGTTTGAGTGCCGGCCTGTGAACTGAAAGGAAGCTTTCCCAGTCAGGGCACAAGCCTGAGATGCAGGCCAGGTCCCTAGCTGGGGTGATGAAAGAAGAAACAAGAGGCAATTGATGCATCTCTCATACAGTGATGTATGTCTCTCTCTCCTGTTCCTTCCCTTCCCTTCCCTCTAAAAAAAAATACATAAAATTAGAATAAAAAATTAAGCCATATTGTTATGACTGAAGAAACTATATATGGTATGACTAGTCAAACCTATACAACAGCTAGTTTTCAATTTCATCTTTATCCTTATAAGTGCATTTAAAAATCAAATTTTCCTGGAATTCTTTCAAGGTTACAGTTTTTAAAAATCTAAAAACTGGTTAAGACATAGTTTACATATAAGTCATAAATCATTTAATAATCTTATTGTTCACCAAGAGATAAGAAATATGGGTAAAATAATGAAGTCTAATAATTAGGTTTAGTTCTAGGAAAGTAAACAAAGTGAAGTGAGAAATAAATAAGTTGCTTCACCTATAAATGTACAGAAGATGCAATTTTTACTCTCAAATATTTTGTGTACATTTCTGAATATGTAATTCAGGAAGGTAATTGTGAAAGAGTGCCAAATGTTTTTAGATCCCACTTTAACTCCTCCAGGTTGCTAAATACTCTAAAGCAGTGTCTCATTATTGGAACTTCAAAGCCTCCGAAATCCTACTTAGCTCACTTTTAACACTCCTCTCGATATAGTCAGTGTCTGCTGTAAAGGTTCTGTGTGTAAATCTCCCAACTATAAGGTACCATATAATATTTTTCTCCATTATATTTATAACTATAATTTGCCATAGTCTTTGCTTTTATAGATAAATGCTATCTAAGAATAACCAATGAAAACTAACCAGTATAAAAACTGAGAAATTTCACATTACCTGGAGGGGAAGTCACATAATATGCACTAAATATACATTTATAATTTGCCAAGAAATAGCAACATTACTATTTTCTGAAATTTCCTGATGTGGAATATAATTGTTTATCATATTTGCCTTCTTTTGTTTTCTGATATTGACGCATAGCTCAGATATGACACTCAAAAATTATTTGATTTTCCTTTTTTAAAAGATATTTTACTGATTATGCTACTAGAGTTGTCCCAGTTTAGCCCCTTTGTCCCTTTCCACCCAGTCAGGGCACATCCCCTCCAACAATCCCCCTCCCTTAGTTCATGTCCATTGGTCATGCGTATAAGGTCTTTGGCTTTTTTATTTCTTACACCGTTCTTAACATTCTCCTGTCTATTTTGTATCTACCATTTATGCTTCTTAATCCCTGCACCTTTTCCCCCTATTCTCCTCTCTCCCCGCTCCCAACTGATAACCCTCCAAATCTGTGATTTTGTTCCTGTTCTGCTTGTTTGCTTAGTTTGTTTTTTAGATTCAATTGTTGATAGTTATGAATATATTGACATTTTAATATTCATAGTTTTGGTCTTCTCTCTTCTACATAATTCCCTTTAGCATGTCATATAATAGTGGCTTGATGATGATGAACTTTAGTTTTATCTTGTCTGGGAAGCATTTTATCTGCCCTTCCATTCTAAATGATAGTTTTGCTGGATACAGTAATCTAGGTCCTTGCTTTTCATGCTTTGAATACCTCTTGCCAGTCCCTTCTGGCCTGCAAAGTTTCTTTTGAGAAATCAGCTGACAGTCTTATGGGAATGCCTTTGTAGGTGACTCTGCTCTTCTCCTTTTGCTTTTAAGACTCTCGCCTTATCTTTAACCTTTGGCATTTTAATTATGATGTGTCTTGGTGTGGTCCTCTTTGGCTCTAACTTGTTTGGGATTGTCTGTGCTTCCTGGACTTGTATGTCTATTTCCTTCACCAAATTAGGGAGGGTTTTTTCATTATTTTTTCAAATAAGTTTTCAATTTCTTGCTCTTCCTCTTCTCCTTCTGCACCCTTATGATTTGGATGTTGGTAGGTTTAAAGATGTCCCAAAGGCTGCTTATACTACCCTCGTTTTTTAAAATTCTTTTTTCTTCTTGCTGATCTTTCAACAGATGCACCTTGAGATCGCATTGTGGCAAGCATTAGAGGAGTGAACAAGTAAAAATAAGTATGACATGATCCTTGTTTTCATCTGTGAGAGGGAGGGGGAAGGGTTTGGGACTTTGTTTAGTGGAAAGCATCAGAGTGGATAGGAATAGTTATTTCCCAGATGGATAAAGGCTAAAAGTGAGAGGAGGAAAGAAGATTGCAAGCAAAAGAGCAGGTGGAGCACATGTGGTGCAGAGTGATTATGGGTGTGAGCTCCCAGCCACATGGCTAACAGCCTTCAGGGAAACACCTGTGTCCCACACTGCAACACCCCGGACTGGGAGTGAGGGGAGGTCCGAGGGGGGCACTTTGGGCCGTCCATATTGTCACCAACACTTCGGAATGCCTCGGATGTGCGAAAAACGATATACAAGATCCAGCAACACCAGGTACATGAAGCAAAATTAAAACTCTGAGTTTCCTCCAGTGCCAAGAGTCCAGTCAAAATTAAGGCTAGAATGAATCAAAAAGAAAATGGACATATACAACCTATCTTTCTAACAATGAAAGCCACAATATTTGACAATTTTTCTGCTGTAATGATGAAGTATATTCAAAAGTCAATTCCACAGCTGTAAACCTCTAAGTGTTGCACAAAAAAATATGTGGGCAATGATTCCGGCGATGTTGGGATATCACAAGATTCAGTGCAGAGATTGGGTACTGCAGAAATACCCCTTGTTCCCATATGTCACCTGGAGGTGGCGCCACCACTCAGCACCCCAAACGAAGTCCTTTTTGCTTCCTTAAGACCAAAGAGTGAAAGCTCCAGAAAAGGAGATGTACTGGATTTTCA